AATCAATCTAAGAATAAAGCTTCATGATATTCTGATCTAAAAGTTAAATAATAGTTAGTGATCATTTATAAAGTACTAATAATACATACAAGACAAATTGTTATAAAATGCCATTGTGTCTTTTCTTAATCATCGATAATAATACTTGCTCACAGATTGTTGCTCAGGTATTATTAGAAGACGAAATATAGGTCTCTTTTGAGTAGTTTTGTATTTTTTTTTTTTTTGCATTACTATTCTTTTTTTTTGTACTATTATTCATTCATATTATTCTTGTTCTAATAATATTATTTAGGGTTTTAGAGCAGTTAAATAATGCAAGTAATCAAACTGTTTTTAAAACTATCTATATGGATGCTGATCCGGCCATAAGTGTGGCTATATAAAATGTATGGCCTAAAACGCATCATTCTCACTGTATATTTTATTTGAATAACAATTTTATTAAGAAATTAAAGGCTATCATAGGCAAACATTTTGATGAGTGCTATAGGCTTTTTTACTGGTCCTGTAATAGCTTGTTTGAAATTGACTTTGAGCATTATTGGATGCGTTTTGTAGAATTTCTTAAACCATTTCCTAAAGCATCCTGATATGCACTTGAAATGCTTTATCCTACAAGTTATAGTTGGGCAATATACTATACACAAGCTCGGTTCACAGCTGGTGTACAAAGTACCCAGCATATAGAAGGTATAAACGGAATTATCAAAAAGGAGGTTTCACATAGTTCAACGTTGTTGCACCTGATTAATTCTATACAAAATCACCTAAACGAAGAAGCAAGGTATGTATGAATAAACGAGCAAAGGAATATGAATCCTTCTATAGGCCTATCTATATTGCAAGTTGATATTTTCATGCTATTGATTCTTTAATTCAGGAGTATTTGACTCTGCATGTTCTCTCTCTTCAATACCAACAACTTTCTGAAAGTTTTTTGTATGACGCTACTGAAATATCTTATGATTAGGATAATTTTCTACCAGAGCCAGAGGATATTTTGGAGAATGGGTGTCTTGAAGATGACTATAAAAGGCATCAAACAGGTCTCAAATCATTAATATAGTCTTTGCAATGTGATGAAGTTAAACAGATTTGGATCATAGTACCACAGAGACCGTTTTCAGGTTACTTTACTATCATATAATAATTCTTAAGGATGGAACACATCTATGCACTTGTCTTATATTAATCAGTAAAGGAATCGTCTGCCACCACTTTATAAAAGTTTTAATAAAATTAAATGTTGCTAAGTTCTACATTTCTTTGATTTCAAGCTATTGGTATAAAAATTGTAAAAATAATAAAGTGAAGAATCTCATTTCTTTGGTTCTATCTATTAAATTGTGCGATTCTAATCAGCCTTTAGCATCTGATAGCACTCACCATACAATTGATTTTTGATATTTATCTCACTTTCACATTGATAATATATTTATTCCTGCCCTGAAGAAATCTGTGAGTAAAAAAATGCGAAGGCTAGTGGGCATAGACTAACAAAAAAAGCATTAAGCTTAATGATACGGCTTAATTGTGATGAGGAATTTTTTAGTATGATGGAAGATTTTATTTCATCAAAGACACACGAGTTACAGCATTTAGAAGAGAACAATGATGATAATAATAGAGTTGAATCAGAACCTATTATTGAACCTCAGCCTGTTGTTACTAATCCATTTGTGACAAAATGCTGTGGATGACCATCTAAGAGGCTTAAGTGTGCATTGGAAAATATTACAAACACTTATCATAATTTGCACGATTCAAACAACCAAATTCTGGTCAAAAATAATACACAAGAAAGAAAAAAAATAAATGTGCCAACTGTGGAAATTATGGGCATAACATTCGAACTTGCGATGCAAGTTAATTATATAGATCATTTGAAATTATATATATATGATGTAGCTTAAAGATATTTTGCTACTAATTTGTCTAATTTGTTTGCTGCTGATGTATTATTGAATTGAATTATATTTTGCTTGTTTGCTTTTCTGTAATGCAATTGTATCATAATTTGTTTGTTTATTGCTACTAGTTGTTTTGTTTTCAATGTAATTTATGGTAAAACTTTATTAATTTGGGTAGCACTTTATATTATCTAATTAATATTCGTTGTGTTCTATGTGCATTATGGGGTAAATAATCAATAATTAAAAGTTTGTGATATTAAAGAAGGCTATTCAACTACATTTTGATTAAGCGTTGTTTTTTCTATTTCATATATTAATGCAATATACAATAAGTACTTTATAAATGATCACTAACTATTATTTAACTTTTAGATCAGAATATCATGAAGCTTTATTCTTAGATTGATT